ATTTATCGCTTAAATATACGTGTATTTTCATAATATTTTATATATCTATACATTTTATATAATGTATTTTCATAAAAAAAAGTTCATACAAATAATCTTGATATTAGAAAAAGAAATAGTTTTTATTATGGTTATATTAAATTCATACAAACATAAAAACAGAAAATTAAACATCAAAAGAGTTATGATATTATTTGAGAAGTCAGTTTCCTATGTGTCGCTCTCACGTTCACTTTCACGATGCTTGATTACATTGATACCCTTAATGAATTAAAAATAGTTAAAATTGTATTATTAATTCTTTTATTTAGTTTCCTTTTCAAACATTTCCAAAAATATATGTAATAAAAAGGAAATTTTTTATAAAGTCATAAAAACAAATTGAAAACGAAAAATATATGTATATATATATGATTTCATAAAAAAGGAAAGTTCACAAAATAGTAATAATACATTTTAAAATATTTTTAAATAATATAAAATATACTTTTAGAGTAATAAAATATTTTATAATTAGTATTATTTTTTATTTATTTTTCATATATTTAGTTGACTCTAATATCTTTCAACTACAGAAAATTATCTATAAATTATATTTTACTTATATAATATTATTTTCAAATACAATCACAATTTTATGTAGTGCTTATTTTTAAGAGATATTAAAAATAAAAAATAAATTTAACAATAAACATCGCTTGATCAAATAATTTTATCATTATTAAAATTATATTTTTTCTTAATATTCAATTTTATTTTAAATTTTCAATTTTTATGTTTGTGAAACTAAATATAACCATAATCAAAATACCAAAGCAAATCTGAATTTCCAATTTTAAGATTATTTAAAATAAATTTCAGTTTACATTCAATAAATCTAAAGCATAAATTTAGAATTTATAAATATTTTAATTATTGTAAATATTGATATGTGTTTATGAGGTTCCAAAAATATATCAACTACTTATGCATGTAGCCTTTTATTGACCATAGAATAACAGAAAACATATTAACAAATGAAAATAAATATTAACCAACTCTTACAATTTTAGTTCTTTTGTAAAATTTATATATGTGCATGAGACTTTAGAATATTATCATTACATTAATTTACGTATTTTGGAATCAGACACTTTAGTTAATTTTTAATTCATTCTAAGCACAATATATCTTAAGTTATACATAATTTTATTAAAAATATATTTACATATCTAAGACAACACCCACTATATGCAAATATGTAATTAATAAAAAAGTAATATATTTTAAAATATTACAGGTGAATTCAGAGATGCAATCCAATTTATCCAAATGATAACTAAATCAACCGTAAAAACAACAAAATCGACTAGATATAATATATATAAAATTAAAGTATAATTAAAGTAATATAATATTATTAATATAAATGATACATACAAATTATAAATTAATTAAATTAAACTAAATAAATAATCAATCATTATCATATATTTACTTTAAAAATATTTATACCCGTGCATGAGCACGGGAAAATCACCTAGTACAAATAATCTTGATATTAGAAAAAGAAATAGTTTTTATTTAAAAAATAATTTAAACAATAAAATATATTATTGTTATCAATAATATTATTTGAGAAGTCACTTTCTTAGGTGTCGTGCTCACGTTAACTCTTACGCTGGTTGATTACTATGGTACCCCTAATGAATTAAAAATATATTTAAATATTATTATTTCCTTTTTAAAATCCTCCAAATAACAATATAAAACAAAAAGGAAATATTTATAAAATTTACAAAACTATCTAAAAACTAAAAAATAAGTATATATATATATAATATGGTTTCATACAAAAGGAAAGTTTACAAAATAGTAATATTTAACTTAAATATATTTTTATATAACATAAATTATACTTTTAAGTAATTATACTTTATATCTATAACTCTTCGATGAAAAATAATATTTCTATATTATGTGTTTTCATAAAAAAATTTCATAGAAATAATCTTAAACAATAAGTATATATTTTCAAAGTAATTAGTTTTTGTATATATCTATCTATTTTATTAGATGATTACATAAAATAATTAAGTAACATAAATTGATATATGTTTAATTGACAAAAAAATTTATAATTAGTATATTTATTTGATTATAATATCTTATAGTTACAGCAAAAAATATAAATTATATTTTACTTATATAATATAATATATCTCAAAAATAATCATTTTTACTGCATATTTTAAGAGATATTAAAAACAAAATAAAAACAAATTTAAAACATCTTTTGATCAAATAACTACAATTATTTTAAAATATCATAACACTATATAATTTAACGAGATAGATATATTATATTTTAATATTTAAAATTATCTGTTTTCTTAATAACTCTTTTGATGTTTAATTTTCTGTTTTTATGTTTGTGGAATTTAATAAAACCACATTGTATATAAAAAAATTAAGAAAAATATAAATATACTTTAGATAATTTGAGATATTTTTAATTTATGTAGTCTAATAAAAAAATACAAAGAAATTTTTAATTAAATTTATGTTAACAAATTATTATGCAAAACATATGTAAAACCCTTAGTAATATTAGTTTTAAAATACTTACAACACCAACGGAAATGAAAATAAGAAATTAATCAAAGTTTTATTATATTTAGAATTAAAATATTATAGCTGAATTCAAAAAATAGATATTATCCAATATACCAAATTGATAACCATACCGACTATTGATCCAAAAAAATAATTAAACAAACAATAATATATCCAAAGTCATATGTATAGAATAATATAATATTTATTAATATAAATTATACATACAAATTTATTCAAAACTAAAACTAAATATCAATCAATTATTATAAAGTTTTACTTTTATGAATATTCATACCCGTGTATGAGCACGGGAAATCACCTAGTTACATATATAATTACGAGTATTTAATGAATTATTTGCTCAACAGTTATTTACTAAAAAATGCACATAAAAGTTTATTTTGTTTATTCTACTTAAAAACATAAAAAATATAATAAACAGAATATTTGTACATGTTATAAAAAAGAAGAACCAAGAAAAAAAACATATCTCTATAATATTATTTGAGAAGTCAGTTTCCTACGTGTCGCGCTCACGTTAACTCTCGCGATGGTTGATTACTTAGATACCCTTAATGAATTTTTAGATTTTGAGATTATTTTTTATTTATTTTCTTTTTTACCTTTTTCCAAATAACATATATAATAAAAAGGAAATATTTCTAAACTTTTTTTAAAAATTAAAAACGAATATACATGTATATAATATGACTTTATTAAAAAGGAAAGTTCACAAAATAGTAATATCCCATTAATAACATAAAATATATTTTCAAAATAATAAAAATATATATGTTTCATGAACATCCAAAAATTTATCAGTTACACTTTATTTTCTAATATTTTTAGAAATCAATATATAATTTGATAAATATTATGAAAATACATGTATATTTAAGCGATAAATAAACTAATTTGATTTGATTTAACTAAAATAAAGAGTAAATAAATATTATGAAAATACATGTATATTTAAGCAATAAATAAAACTAACTTAATTTAACTTAACTAAAATAAAAAGGAACCATACTTCAATTAATTTAAAAATATGTTTAATTCAATATACTCACAAAATGAATGACTCGACTAATCTAATTTATATCCAAAATTAGACATCTAACTACAATAAAAACATATAATTTATAATAACAATAATAATAATAATAATAATAATAATAATAATCTATTTAAATTTATACATATAATTTATAGGTTGACTCAAAGCATATTAAAAAGAAAAATAAATATTAACCCATTCCAATTTAATTCCTTTTAGCATTTATATATATGCAAGAGATTTCAAAATATTATCATTATATTCATTTATGTAATTTTGAATCAAACCGTGCAGCTTATTATTTATTTCATTTTAAGCACAATATATATTAATTTATACATAATTCAACTATAATATATTTACATATCTAAGAATATATTTACATATCTTTTTTTGGTCAAAAAATATATTTACATATCTAAATACAGTTGTTCAAAAAAACATATCTAAATACAATAACCAACCAAAATTAAAATAAGAAAATTAATCAAAATTTTATTATATTTATAATACAAAATATTATAGCTGAATTCGAAAAAATAGATATTATCAAATATACCGAATTGATAACCAAACCGACTATTGATCCAAAAAGTAACTAAACCGACAATAATATATCCAAAGTCATATGTATAATTAGAAAAATATAATATTTAGTAATATAAATTATACATATAAATTGATTCAAAAATAAAATTAAATATCAGTCAATTATTATAAAATTTTACTTTTATGAATATTCATATCCGTGCATGAGCACGGGAAAATCACCTAGTATCTCTATATAGGAACATTATTTACCTCTCATAATAACAAAAACATCTTTTTTGAACAAGTAATGAGTAATATCAAGGCGAATAATTAATTTTTTTTCATACTTATTACTTGCCTTGTACTTGCAAGTATCTAATTTCTAATATTTGATAACAACGAGTATTTGAAAAACCAAATCAAATACGGAGCGAATAACGAGTATAAAGCGAGTAACGAGTATTTGTGTCCAGCCCTATTCAGAGGTAACGAACAATATCTTCATCGAATTTAATTAAGTACATTGAACCTTGTCCTAAAGTCAATCCATTGTTAGTTATCTCTTATCTGTGATCAATCTCTGACAGTTTTGTAAAAGTCAATAAAACACTAAATATATTGGGCCCTTAACTCAAAGCCCATGATGCAGAACCATGACTATTATTGAATCACGTAGCACGTACCCATCAAGGAATCAAAGGTTTTTAAAAGAGTCAACGACATCGAACATCAGATCAAGACGTTCATCTTCTAACTGGAAACACTTATTAGAGTTGTTCATCGTTTTCCACAAACCCAAATCCTTTCTTTCTCAATGCCTCTTCTCTTCTTCTCTCGTCGTTTTCTCATCTTCTCCACCATCATCCCCTTCCTTGCCTCCATTGCTCTCTACCGTCTCGACACTTTTGACCCTGCTCTGCTTCCTTCCGAAGCATTAAACTACTCCAACACCACTCTCCCTCCGGTTAGCAACGATGGATTACTAACCGGAGCTGAGTTAATCGGTGTTGGTCTTCTCAACAGCCCCGAGGACATTGCTTACCACCGAGAATCTAATCTCATTTACACCGGCTGTGTAGATGGATGGGTGAAACGAGTCAAGGTGACCGACTCGGTTAATGACTCAGTCGTGGAGGACTGGGTCAATACTGGTGGTAGACCACTCGGCATAGCTTTTGGACTTCACGGAGAAGTCATTGTCGCAGATGCATACAAGGTTTGATCCGATCTCTAGTTTTTTTTTTTATTAAAAAAAAATGTCGGAACGAGGAAGATGATTATTTTGTCTGTATAGGGACTGTTGAATATAAGCGGTGACGGAAAGAAAACGGAGTTATTGACGGATGAAGCTGACGGCGTTAGATTTAAGCTCACTGACGGAGTCGCCGTTGCAGATAACGGCGTTTTGTATTTCACAGACGCTTCGTACAAGTACAACATGCGTGACTTTGCTTTTGACATCTTGGAAGGCAAACCTCATGGCAGACTCATGAGCTTTGACCCCACCACACGAGCTACACGTGTCCTTTTGAAAGACCTGTACTTTGCAAATGGTGTCTCTATGTCTCCCGACCAAACACATCTCGTCTTCTGCGAAACACCCATGTCCTATTCCGCTCTCTGTAACCTCATTTTTCTGCTTTAAAACGTCATCTCAAGTTGTTCTCTTGTTGTTTCACAGGAGAAGATGCAGCAAGTATTACATCAGTGAGGAGCGTGTGGAGGTGTTTATTCAAGGCTTATCCGGTTATCCCGACAACATCCGGTACGATGGAGAAGGACATTACTGGATCGCAATGCCTTCGGTAACTATACAAACAGAAATTCTTTTTAACTTTTATGATTTGAGATTTTGGCATCATTGTTTGTTTGCTTCTCATTGGGTTTTGAAGGGAGTAACAGTGTTGTGGAAGCTTGCGTTTAGATACCCTTTCTTGAGGAAACTCACGGCCATAGCGGCTAAGTACGGGTTTGATCCCATGGTGTTTATGGAGAATGCTGGCGTTTTGGAGGTGGATCTTGATGGGAAGCCTATAGCATTGTACCATGATCGTAAGCATTCTCACATGACTACTGGAGTCAAGATTGGGAGATACCTCTATTGTGGGAGTCTTCTGCATTCACACATAGTTCGGCTCGATCTTCTGAAGTATCCTGCACAGAAAAGGCTTTGAGCTGTTACACGGAGGAAACTTTCAACATCAAAGTTTATTTAATATTATAAGAACTGTTGTACATTTGCTATCATTTTAAACCGTCACATATTATAAACTCATAAACACAACGCTTTAAGTTCTCAAGCTTTACATTTTATTCTTACAGAAAGACAAGATCCATGCTACAATGAAGAAATATTTCGTAAGCTTCAACTCTTATATTATTTTGAGCTTACTAACCTATTACAGATGTGGTAGTTTATATACTAATGCACTATTTCTATATAACATTTCTTTCACCATGACAAAAAGTAATGTTTCTATACTGTTTTATATTTGCAATCCTTGCCAGATTAAGAAACCAGATTATTATGTAAAACATTATTATTTAATCTCATGAATTATTGTATAATTTGTAATTTAATAATATTTTCACTTCGCATAAAGCGCGGGTCTTACCTAGTGGAACATTGATTCGGAAAACATACGAAATGTAATACCTACTCATACATAGAAAAATGAGTACATACAAAATGTAAGACCTACTTTAGAAGAAAATGAGGAAACATACTAATACAATAGTATTATATACCTGGAACATATTGTACATCAAGCCATTTAAAACTTATATGGCTATGAAGATTGATTTTTCTTTTTGGTTCATATATCTCAGATACCATATTTAAGTCTAGTATGAAATTTTATATAATAAAATTGATTTTTTTTTCCATAGGAAAATAATACCACGTGTCACCTAAATAAATTGAGCTTTATCAAAAAATTTTGTTTGGCTTTAGGAAACATTTACGGCTCATTGATAAACTAGGTTTCTTCATTTTCTTGCCTTACACCTTACGAGGTGACCGACTCGGTTGATGAATCAGTCGTGGAGGATTGGGTCAATACCGGAGGTAGACCACTCGGCATAGCTTTTGAACTTCACGGTGAAGTTATTCTCGCAGACGCATACAAGGTTTTGATCCGATCTCTAACTTTTAAATAAAATGTCGGAACGAGGAAAGTTGATTAGTTGTGTCTGTGTGTATAGGGACTGTTGAATATAAGTAGTGTTAGAATAAATAAAAAGGCAATCCAAGTCCCACATCGGATATTAGACATAATAAAGTTTAATATATATAGCTAGTCTAATCTCACTTAGCATGAGGCCTTTTGGGAGTAACGACCCAAGAACAAATCCGTGATGGCTTAGGCCCAAAGTGTACAATATCATACTAAGCGAGAGATTGGACATCTGGTGACGGACGTTTGGCTCTAGTTGAGCGTCTGGCCTCCAGCACGGGCATCCGGTCTGGCTCTAGTAGAGCATCTGGCCCAGGAGTGCATCTGGTCCGTCACAACAGATTGGTATCAGAGCCCAAGGTTCCGTGGTCCTTGGTTTGAGGGGAGGATTGTTAGAATAAATAAAAAAGGCATTCCAAGTCCTACATCGGATATAAGACAAAATAAAATCTAATATATATTGCTGGTCTAATCTCACTTAGCATGAGGCCTTTTAGGAGTAACGACCCAAGAACAAATCCGTGAGGGCTTAGGTCCAAAGTGAACAATATTATACTAAGCGAGAGATTGGACATCTGGTGACGGACGTTTGGCTCTAGTTGACCGTCTGGCCTCCAGCACAGGCATCCGGCCTGGCTCTAGTAGAGCATCTGGTCCAGGAGTGCATCCGGTCTGTCACAACAAGTAGTGACGGAAAGAAAACGGAGTTGTTAACGGATGAAGCTGACGGCGTTAAATTCAAACTCACTGACGGAGTCGCCGTTGCGGATAACGGCGTTTTGTATTTCACAGATGCTTCGTCCAAATACAACATGCGTGACTTCGCTTTTGATATCTTGGAAGGGAAATCTCACGGCAGACTCATGAGCTTTGATCCCACCACACGAATTACACGTGTCCTTTTGAAAGAGTTGTACTTTGAAAATGGTGTCTCTATGTCTTCCGACCAAACACATCTCGTCTTCTGCGAAACACCCATGTCCTCTCTATAACCTTCTCTTTGTGCTTTGAAACCTCATCTCAAGTTTTTTTTTATTGTTGTTCACAGGAGAAGATGCAGCAAGTATAACATCAAGGAGGAGCGTGTTGAGGTGTTTATTCAAGGCTTACCCGGTTATCCTGATAACGTCCGGTACGATGGAGAAGGACATTACTAGATCGCGATGCCTTCGGTAACTATACAAATAGTACTTAACTTTATGATTTGAGTTTTGGTACCATTGTTTGTTCGTTTGTCATTGTTTTTGAAGGGAGTAACAGTGTTGTGGAAGCTTGCGTTTAGATACCCTTTCTTTAGGAAACTCACGGCCATAGCGGCTAGATACGGGTTCGATCCCATGGTGTTTATGGAGAATGCTGGCGTTTTGAAGGTGGATGCGGATGGGAAGCCTATAGCATTGTATCATGATCATAAACATTCTCACATGACTACTGGAGTCAAGATTGGAAGATACCTGAGTCTTTTGCATTCACACATAGTTCGGCTTGATCTTCTGAAATATCCTGCACAGAAGAAGCTTAAGCCCTCGTCCATGAAAATGATAATGGATTCAAACTGGTGACACTTTGACCAATAAGTTTATTCAATATCTATAAGAAGTGTTGTACATTTGCTATGATTTTAAAGTCACAGAAGGTGATAACCCGCGCCTTGCGCGGGGTGAGTTAATCAAAATTGTAATGACGTACTATATATGTAATGAAATTGTGTTACTTTTATGTGCAGGTTTATACAATGTAAACTTCTCTTTTTTATGAATAATGTCGTCTTTTTGGAAAGATATACTTAGTATATGGAATAAAAGGTTGAACATGATAAATGTCATGTTCCCGTTATTAAGGTTGTTTTGATGGATTATCATTTTCCTTTTATCTTTAGTCTCCATGATTCTATCACAGACAGGAAATGTTGAAAAATAAAACATGATATATTAAGAAAATACTCATTTAATTATAAAATAGTAATGAATAAATAATAAAAACATGACATTAGAATGATAATAATTAAAAGAACATGAATAATAGAAAAATAAAACATAATATAATGACAAATTGTCTTCAAAACTCTTGATTTGCAATCCTACATATAAAAAACAAGAATTAATAAGTTTACCAAATAACACACACTATTTTAAAATTTTAAACTAAATAATATAATTTACTTCTTTCTAAAAGCATCGAGTTTCGGAACATTATCAGGTTCAAATAATATTTTTGAAAACCCATCAATGTTTGAGATATTCTTCAGTTTCTCTTGTCATGAATAAAGAAAAACCATATCAATAATCTTCTAATATGATATAAAATGCAACAGATTATTTATTTAAAAATTATAACAATACATTACGGGGATTAACTCCATATACCCCTTGCCCTCATCAACTAAACCTTACTACCCTATCTCTATTCATACTACCCTTTTGTTCTTGTAATTCCTAAACTAGCCTCACTTTCCCGTTTATTTGTCAATTAAATAATTCAACTATATCCAACTACTTACATGGCCCACATAAACAACTTGAACCAGTCAGAACTACTTTGGCCCACATGTCTTCATCTTCTTCGTATCATTCCTCTTCCTCATTCTCCATTGGCGATTTTAAGCTTCAAAAACAGGTAATTCTTGCTCGTTTTTGTTGATTTTTTTTTGTAAAATAACATTTAAATATCATGTATATCTCAGCTAGTGTTAAAAAAAGAAGATCTGTTGAAAAATATGAGAGATTTAAAAAACATATGAAAACTGTATATATAGATTTAGACTATATTTTATGTTCGTTTTGTTGATTTTACGGCTGTATTTTCATTTAAGATGAATTATACATCATGTGGGATGTATAATCCGCACAATATCGTCTGTAAAAGCAAATTAGTAAGTGGAAGGATAATTTCTGGGTATTTGGGTATTACTGAGAAAGCTTGTATTACTAAAGTAAAAGAATTACTTGAATACTAGTTTTACTATATGTATTACTAAGTATTCTTGTACTGAAATAAATTAGTATTAGTAAAAGAATAATGTACGGTGAGAAAAATAATTTATAAGCATCTTAATAATGATAATTTTAATGGGATTCCATTTTATTTCAGAAAAATGCAAAATCCGCATTGCACTATCATTTACTTTGATTATGGTGGATATTATATGAAGGATGGGGCTGAAATAAAGTGGATCTCAGGAGATGGTGAAAGAGAAGATGAAATACACACGGTTGTTTTGAAGAAATCGGTGGAAGAGATCAATTACTCTGGTTTGGTTGAGCGTATTTGCAGAAAAATAAAGGTAGATGAATCTAGGGTGGAAATTAAGATTAGTTACTTTCCAATGGTATTGTATTCGTACAAGCCATCATACATCTGGAATGATGAAGACGTTTTTGGTTATCTACTGCAAGTAAATCATGATAAGTGTAGAAGTGTTCTATATGTGGAGTTCATCAATAAAGAAGTGCAATTTTCAGAAGAGGATGATGAAACTAATTTTTATGTCGGTGTATCTGATAGAGAGGCTATAGAGGAGGCTGGTGATGAAGATGGTACTGAGAATGATGAAACTGATGTCTATGTCGGTCTATCTGACAGAGAGACTATATATGATGCTGGTGATGAAGACGGTACGTGTCATGTCCCCGATCCTGAGTATGATCGTGTGGACGGACCATGGTGCAAGGAGACGCATCAGTCAGGTCACGAGACCTAAAGGCAAGCATACCATGGTCTAGCAACGTGGTTAAGGGAATCAGGGAGCTGAGACATAGCCATATAAAGAAGGAAAAGAAGTTAAAGGAGCTACACGAGTAAAGCGGTAGCTCAACAGGGTTCTGGGACAGCTCGACCTAGCTCGGGTGAGCTCAGCCCAGCTCGATCTAGCTTCACACTCACTAGTCAGCTCACACCAGCTGAACCGTCATGTTCCCATTCCTGGAACTTGTCACAAGTCTTAGATATTCAATAGAAACGATACTGCTGTGGTTCAGATCATGGGAATTGATCATGAACAAGCTCGATGAAGCAAATGACCAAAATGGATCATGGGAAAACTAAGTCTAGGTCGGGAGATAGACCAAGGGACTTAGAAGGATTGAATAAGATGAAGATATCAAGTTGTACGAAGTATATCACAGCTGGGTGATGCGAGCAAGAAGCTCAACCAGCTGGACAGAGCTCAGTTGGAGCTCAAGTAGAGTGTGCCAGCTCCCTGAGCTGGATGGACTGAGTGTTCAAGTCTTGGGCAGTTGGGGCCGGGTCTGGATAGTGACCAGGCCATGTGGGTGACCCATGTGTACCAATGGGCCACTGGGCTCTTGTGGTTGGGCCATGGGCATGGGCAATCACTTTGGGCTTGTTTTGGACATATCCAGGAGTGTTTTGTAAAGCCCAGGACGTCTGGTAACTGCCATAGGCGAACATGTGTGATCTGTACTATTGATTAAATGGCCAGAAATGAAACCGAAGGGATGCAATGGTTAAGAAGTAACCACCCCTTCTTATTTAAAATACAGGCAAGTCCGTGCCTTTCCAGGCACGCCAGGGATCCATTCTTCACCCTGAAACACAAAGAAAAACCAGAGAAAAACAGAGGGTTGGTCGGATTTCGAATCCAAACCCCAAGAGAGATTCAAAGGCAGCAAAGAGACAGTTTTGTGGGCAATCAAGTGGGAAGTTATGAACGACCCTGTGATGGTTTTTCACCATTGATGAACATGTCCCAGGCTTCCTCTACATTCATAGAAGACACGCAAATGGCCAGGTAATAAGAGAGATGACTGGATTCACTCTCAAAGTCCAAGGGCAGCCTTGAAGGCAGATGTGTGTAAAAAGGCAGTTTCATGGGCACTGAAAGGGGAAGTGATGCACGACCCTTGGGTGGTGTTTGATCATGAATGATCACGCCCTAGGCTTCCTCTGTGTCCCGGGAACACACGAAAATGGTTAGGAGAGAAGAGAGAAGGTCTGACTCCACTCTCAATGGCATTCTCTTATGGCCGGTTTGGCTAAATTGGGTTTGGATCTATGTGATCCAGGCCGATTCTTGGGAATCTGATTGGACCATTCTCTTAGTTAGTATTTATCATGAATTGTCAAGGTTTTTAATTAATTTTTAAGGATTTATTTGGAGTTGGTCAGATTTGGCCAGATAGTGAAAATTCTACGAACCGAACCATGCTTTTCTAGAACTGTTGCTAGGATATAGGTTTAGATATGTATTGGTGATGTGTTATAAGGATCCAAGACCTTGAGGAAAGGATCGGATCATTGATGATCTACCTCATCCATGTGGGATGATGGTTAGATGATATCCTTGTGATAATGATCCATGTTGGATCATGGATTGATGTTGGGTTTGATCATGGTGTGAACCATTGATCTGGCTCATTGAGGAGACACATGAGGTCCTAGTATCAGAGGAACCATGTGGAGTGCAAGGTCCAATTCGTTTGGAACCAACAGCAAGCAAAGGAGATGAGTAAGGCTAGTACTTGTTGGCATGGACCATAAGTATTGAGCTGGTGTGTTATATAAGGAAGGCCGTATGTGATCTGATCATGGGCAAGGATGGAAGACCTGATCCATAGTTGATGGATCAAGGTGTCTGATCTGATTGATTAAAGGATGCACCGGTTGTAAGAGTTAAACTGATCGGTTCATTGGGACATGGCTCCATGGCCGCTTAAGTGAGTGTGAAGACTCATCAGTTCTGAGTCATGTGGGGTGGTTGGTTGATTGACTTAGGATCTGATGAGTATTGTTAGTCCATGAGAAGGACTTGGTATCATGTTCGATAAAGAATAAGGATGATGCATGAGCTGAGAAGAGCTAGATGAATGTCCTTTACCATTGAAAACTTCCCAAAGGTTACTTGGTCAGTGGGGATGGTTGGTTGAATGACTAAGTACCCAAGGGGAGATGTTTATGCAGGTGTAAGAGAGCTGGACGAGTTGGCAGGAAGCTGGGTGCAGCTATCTTGTAGCTCGATCAGCTGGAAGAGGTTAGATGCAACCTCAAGAGAAGTGGTTCAGCTTAGCTAGCTAGATGAGCTAGCTAAACAATGTGAGGAGGCTGTCCCTAGCTCGGTTTCAGCTAGCTTAGGTGTATCAGCTCGATGAGCTGGTCGAGCTAGCTAAGTCAGCTAGGAGTATGAGCTAGCTAAGTCAGCTAGGAGGATGAGCTGACTAGGTCAGCTGGACCGATGAGCTAACAAGATCCGTGGATGTGGCAAAGGTATGATCCAGCTATTTTCTTTTAGTTCTAGCTAGAATGGTTTAGGGGAATGGAACCTCGGATTTGTATGACTTGGTTTGGGTTCAGGATCGACCTTGGAGGTAGTGGTAGTTGAGAATACTAACCAAGGCTGAGGTGATTCGACCAGACAAGTTCTAGATTGGTTGTAGACCAATGGATAAGTAGACAATATTCCACTGTGCATAACTTGAATTGACCTAAGCTAGTAAATGACTAGGGAAGTCTTGAGCTAAGATATGAGTTAGCCCTCGCCTATGGGCGATGTTTTAAATAAAGGGCAGAAATTTCGAGGTTTGGTCCAGAAGAGGACCGAGTGACG